TCAGTAAATCAGAATATTATTATTATTAAGACTACAGAAGTATTCTAACCCTTACATCAACAAAAATTTTTCCACGATTGAAAACTTCAAAAGTAACTCAACCTATGTGCCTTCAGAGAGCATTCAATTTATATTTCTTTAATTAGCTCACAAATTAGGAATTAAGCACCACTGGTCAAAAAACAGCAGGGATTCTTCCGGCTTACCCTTTTATACCATGTGAAGAAGCTTCTCAAAATCATGTCACAGATAGACCCCTCGTCCCAGATTGCTGATTTGAAGAGAATATTGGAATTCTTGTGCACCATATGGGACCAAGAAGTAACAGAGAAAATAAAACTCCATACCTAACCTGCTACCAAGTTTGGAACACCAGTACAATGAGCTTCGCATAACTCTAAAACTGATCTTTTATGAGTAAAAATTGGGCTCCACCAATTTTACCCAATACTCCACAAACTTTGGACTTTTTCGCATTGCATAAACACATTATCAATATAATTTTGGTTTGATAATATTATTTTATAGTTGTAATTGTAAGTTTTTTTATTTTTTAATATTTTAAAAATATATAAAATATCTTTAATATTTATTTTAATTAATATTCTATATATATTTAAAATAATAAAAAAAAAAATAAAAACTAAAGCACCGAAAAAACGTACCCCAACGAAACCATGGTTTCCTCTTCCTTTCCACCAGAAGGCATTAACAAATCTGCTCGGGTTAGGTGCACTCCTCTTTTTTGTGAAAATTAAACTTTTAACTGGCAGCCCCTGACGAAAGCATATATATATACTTATTTTTTAATATTTGACAACCATATTAAATTTTAATTAGTTTGAAATTAAAACTCCTCAGACCTCATAAAATGAAAATTTGAAAAAAAAAAAATTAAGGCCAGAAACTCTTAAGATGTTGGTTGAGTAGATGATAAAGAGTATCATTTTCACGCAACTCATATGCCAGGTTCCCTTTCATTGGGATATTCTTACTCCAAGATCCTTCTACAAATGGTTATTGCAAGGTCCTTTCCTTTTTCCCTTTTTTTGGGGAAAATAGTTAATGGAGATCCTTTCTTGATTTGAGCAAAGAGCGCATGTTCTTGACAGCATAACGTCTAAACATCACCTCCTCATATCTGGTTTTCCGACACACATTTGATTTGACAGTTGTGGAGAATATCAAGAAGCCAATAATTTAAAATAAGTCAATAAAAATAAATACGTGATATTTATAGTTTAAATTAAATAATTTTTTCTATCAAAAAAATAAATAATTTTTATATTAAAAATATAAAAATTAAAAATTAACAACTTTAAAATTTTAATAAATAATTCAATTATTAAAAACTTGAGTTTCATATTTAAATTTTGAGTTAAATATAAAGAAATTTGAAAAAAAGAAAAGCTATTTGTTATATAACTTATTATTGTGAAATGTGCTAAAACAATTAACAAAAATTTATTAGCCGCTCATTCAAGCATAGAGCAGGAAAACAAGTAATGGTAAAATTATGAAGCAGGCATGATATAATTACGATCTCAAGATAAAGTGTCAGTCTCATATAAATTTTTAAATAGTTTATTAAAAATATTGATTAATTTTATTTAATTTAGTTGTTAAAATTAATTAATAATTATAGTTGCTAATTGATTAAGGATTTTTTATTTACATTATTAAAGTATAAATTAAAAGTATAATTATTATTTTTTAATATCAATTAATATTAAAAATATAGAGATTATCATTAATTTTATCATTAATGTCATAAAAAAATATTTTAATTAAATAATTACTTAAATAAAATTCAACTCTTATTTTTTTAATAGTAATAATATAAAAAAGTGAAATAATTATACTATTGACCGTGCACTCTCTTATGATATAAGTTAAAAAATTGATTTATTAATGATAAAATAATTAATATTTATTACTCATTATATTAAAATTAAAATATTCATTGATATTTTTAA